AGCTGAGCTCTTTTAGTAATTGCTCAGAGAGAAATCCCCCAATAGTATGGTTACCAGTGTTTTGGGGCAAAGCAGAAGTGTGGCCAGGGATCCTTGAGTCAGAATGTGGCAGGATCTCAATTTCCTTGTTTTCGGTGTAGCTCCCCTGCCTCCGGCGTTTCTCCTGCCTCCAAATCTAGTGTCTCCACTAGTAAGCTTCTAGACTTCTGCTGGGACGAGGAAGTGGCAATCTCCCAGCTGCTTCAGATGTACAAGGAAATATGGCTTTATAATAGCTCCCTTAAAATTTTTCACCTAGGTCTTTTTTTTTTTTATAGCTCAATTATATATCTACCTTCAGAAATACTTGCTGTGTCCAATTCCTGTACTTTTTGGGGGCTGTTGTTCAAATTTACCTTCTTCTAGGTAGTTCCATTCTAGCTGATTTAATAAGTCTCTCTGAAAAGGTGTTCAGAAAGTCGGAATGGACTTCTTATTTTTCTTCCAAAACAAATAGGAACATTCAAAATCCTTCTACTGACCTTTCTGCTGTGCTCAAAGATAAGAGTCTTTTTCCCCCCCAAAAATATGTATTTTATTGATTTTTTTACAGAAAGGAATGGAGAAGGAGAGAAATAGAGAGTTAGAAACATCAATGAGAGAGAAACAATCAGCTGCCTTCTACACACTCCCCACTGGGGATATGCCTGAAACCAAGATACATGCCCCTGACCGGAATTGAGCCTCGGACCCTTCAGTCCTCAGGCCGATGCTGTATCCACTGAGCCAAAAAGGTTAGGGTGATTGAATCATTTTTTAAAAGTAGATGTATGATTTGGAGGCCTCACTAAAAATCTGAGTTTAAAGTTTGAACAGAAGGCATTTCATAGCCCTATTATTTATATTTAGCTTGATGAATCAGCCTCAAATATGATGGGAAGCCTGGAAGGGGAAAAAGGTACAAAATATTACCCTGAGAAAGTCATATAGGTGTGTGTTCATGCAGGCACGTGTCTGGGTATTACATGTGTATGCGCACTTTTTATGTTGGTTGTAGGCAGTCACAGTCTTGTTGCCTGTGGGTATGTTTGTGGACAGATAAATATGAGCCCATGGAGTAAGAAATTGAGCAGCTTTAAAACATGTCCCCAATTCATTGGGGAGATATGAAGGCTCTACATTCCCTTCTTTTGAATCTGAGATGGCTTTTGTGGCTTGCTGGCAGCTAGTAGAATAAAGTGCAAGTGATGCAGCACGACTTCTTAGGATAAGTCTGAAAAGGCCATGAGTCTGGTCCATTCAGACACTCACTCTGAGGGAAGCCAGATGCCGTGTGCAAAGTCTGCCATGCTGGAGGGACTGTTTCAGCTGAGCTTCCAGACAGCCACCGGCCAGCATCAACCGTCAGCCACAGAGGGTGCCATCTGGGATGTCCAGCCTAAATAAGCCTTCAAATGACAGCAGCTGCAGTTGACATCTGATAAGAGACCCAAACAATAAACTGGCCAGGTAAGCCCTTCCCAATTTCTGAGCCACAAAATCAATAGCAAAATAAACTGGCTATCCAAGTCTGGCTTAGCGCATTCACTCAAGGAGCAGCAACAGTTAGCTAGTTTATCAGCCAGTTTAGAACAGAGGGTGAAGCAACAGGAAAGAGATGTGGTAGATGAACGTGCCTAGATAGGGTACAAGCAGAGTGGAAGGACCATAGTACCTACATTTTGTTTTATGCAATGTTCAGATGTCCTGACCCTCTCTGCTGGGCCAGTCTTCTCTGCAGAAGGACCAGAGTGAAGAGTGAGTGAGGGGCGTGTAGCAGATTGAAGGAGCCAGAAACCAACATGCATCTCTTCTGTCAGAGAGATGTGAGGACACGTATGTCTGGTCATAACTGTGTCTGGACATTAGCTGGCTGAGTAGCTAGGGGTTTATCTAGTACAGAGACTGCATGAGCCCATAATGAGGCTATAATGGGTGTCACTAGTAGGTGGCCAATTTAGAGATGACATTGTCAGTCTGGAAGTAGTACAATTCATGCCTTATTAGTATTTAAAGTCACTTGGTCTACCTCTCTCTATCTAAAAATAGCACTTTCATTTTTCCCGTCCTTTTATATTATGTGTAACATGTCTCATAAGCAAATTGTGTGTACATTTCATTTTCTCCCATCTTCCATAACAGAATGAAATATCCATAAATCATACAGCAAACACATGACAGCAGACACATTATAGCAAGTCCCAACGAGCAAGCAATTACCAGATCAGGTTGGAGATGTCCCACTAATTAATTGGCTAATAGCAAGTCATATGGCGAAGCCCACAGCCAATGTGGGACAGGTCTGCACAAGGGAGTGGATACCATAAGGCATGATTCATTGGGACCACTACTATAATAGCCTACTACTAACACCCAGCTAGGCCTGGTTTTCCGCAATCTGTTGGGAATGGGTTCTTTTTATTTTTTTATTTTATTTTTTTAAAGATATATTTTATTGAATTTTTTACAGAGAGGAAATGAGAGGGATAGAGATGTATAAACATCGATGAGAGAGAAACATCGATCAGCTGCCTCCTGCACACCCCCCCACTGAGGATGTGCCTGCAAACAAGGTACACACCCTTGACCAGAATCGAACCTGGGACCCTTCAGTTCACAGGTCAACGCTCTATCCACTGAGCCAAACCAGTTACAGCGGGAATAGGTTCTTCGTGAGTAGTTTTTCCAAATCTCACTTCCCAGCACCCCACCCCAAGCCCAGTGAGTCAGAATTTCTTGAGGGTAAGAGATATAGAGGAAGGTGGTGGTAATACCAAGAATTCGAGACTGAAATGACTCTGCAGAGAATTTCAACACATGTGGGAAATATAGGGTTTCAAATACAAGAAAGACAGTCTGTGCACTCAAAAAAACATAGTTTCCACAGAGTACATTTTAAAAAACAAAACAAAACACCAAAAAAAAAAATTTCCATTGATATCAGAGAAGGAGAGGGAGAGATAGAAACATCAATGTTAAGAGAGAATCATTGATTGGCTGCCTCCTGCATGCCCCCTCCCCCACCCCAATCAGGGATGGAGCCCAAAACCTGGGCATATGCAATGACTGGGAATGGAATCATGACCTCTTGGTTCAGAGGTCGACGTTCATTGAGCCACACCGGCCAGGCCAGAGTACATTAATTGTCATTACTATACCAGAGACCTTGACAATTAAAAGAAAAATTGCTTTCCATGTTTCTTGAAGTCAGAGCAGTGGGTCTCAAACTTATGAGTGCATCAGTATTAAGTAGAGGGCCTGTTAAAACACCCACGACTGAGCCCAAATCCCAGTTTCTGGTTCAGGAGGTCTGGGTGGAGCATGTGAATTTGCAGGTCAAACAAGCTCTGCTGTCCAGGGACCATACTTTGAGAACCACTAGGCAGGGAGAATTAGTGACTATGTTGCACTTACATGTTTACAGCACTTCTACTACAACCCAGGGCTTGGTCTGGCTGCAGCAGTAGCAGGATATAATAAGGATAGGATTTAGATCTTGATTATACTTGAGCAGATTTAGTCTCTAAGTGGATCTATCCCCTTAATAAGGGAAGCCTAGGTGACATTAAGACAGGTTGAGATGAAGAGAGAAAGGAAAGTGTGGAGGAGCCGAGTCTGAGCTGGGTCTTGAAAGATGCCTTAGAACCTGGACATTTGGAAATAGTGGGGAATCGCGGAATTCTTCGTCTGGGTAGAGAGAAATCACACAAACCTTGAGAAAACCCCGGGGAAAGGTCTGTGACACTCGCCTCCAGCGCTCCAGCATCAGCCACCTGCAAGCCGCTGGCCTCAGAAGGAGGAAGGGAGTTCTCAGTGTCAAGAAGTCAGCCACAAACCCTCCTCGGGAAGGGGTGGAGCTGGCCTCGCCCACTCTTCGGAGCTCTCAGAGCGGGTGGGTGCCTTGGTGACCGAAAGCGTCTGTCCGAGGCCACGGTGGGCGCTGAGTGGGCAAAGGGCACAGCTTGGGCGCTTCCATCTCCAAACCCCTCAGTGGGGAGCCATGACCCCGCGAGGCTCGGAGCGGTAGCGCGGCTGTCGGGGCGGCCTGGCGGGTAGCCTCCTGGCCTCTCCACGTCCGGAGAGGGGGGCGCAGCCTGGGGCACCGTTCGGAAGGAGCCTCGGATTTAGGCTCGGCGCTAAGGCGGGCCCGGTGACAGCTGCACTACCCGGCCGGCAGGGTGAGGGGTTCAAAGCTCCTCCTCTTGGCTATTTGCATCCCCGGACTTGACGGTGACGGAGGCCAGCACAACGGGGGGCGCGCCCTCTGTGCCTCCATTTCCACGCGCCGGAGCGAGGGGGTGCGCACGCCGGTGCACGCGCCCCACACCCGAGCGCGCGCGGCCCGCGAGGCAGAGGACTACGCATGCGCCGCCCCGTCCCGCCCCCTGTTGAGGCCCCGCCCCTGCCATGGCCCCCGCCCCTACAGAGGCTCCGCCCCCGCCGTGGCCCCGCCCTGTTACCCCTTAAACCACCGCTAGAGGTACTGGCGGCGGCGGCTGCGGCCTGACAGCGCGGCCGCTCTGAGGGCGCGGAGAGCGATCGGGGTGGGAGCGAGCGCTCGGAAAGCCGGCGGGAGCGGAGGGCGGCGCTGGAGGAGGGCGGCGCGCGGCTGACTCATCCCCCTGGACTGGCAGAGCGACTGACACAAACGCCGCCGCCGAGCCCGCCCGCCTGCCCGCGTCGCTCCAGCTCCGCGCGGGAGGCGCCCGCCCGCCCCGCCCGCCCGCCGGCCCCCCTCCCAGCCCGATCGCCTCGCACAAAGTTTGTCTCCTCTGAGGGGCCGGAGCCGCCGCGGGCCTTTTGGAAGAGGACGCGGGGAGCCGTGCGGGCCCGGGGAGTGCATGGTGCCCGGCGCCTCGGCTGCCCATCTGGAGGACATCGGGGCGGGGTCGGCGGAGCGCAGCTCTTTCTAGCCTCGGCCTCGCCCGCGATCGCCGCCCTCCCGGACTGCCGCCGCGGGGGTCCCCGCGCCCCAGCCCGCCATGTCCCGGCTGCTGCCGCTGCTGCGGAGCCGGACGGCGCGCAGCCTGAGGCCGGGCCCGGCCGCCGCCGCCGCCGCCGCGCCCCGCCTGCCGTCCTGGTGCGGGTGCGGGCGGGGGCTGCTGGCGATCGCCTTCCCCGGAGGCTCCCCCGGCGGCCGCCGGGCGCTGGGCACCCACCCCAAGGAGCCCATGGAGGCGCTCAACACGGCGCAGGGCGCGCGCGACTTCATCTACAGCCTGCACTCCACCGAGAGGAGCTGCCTGCTCAAGGAGCTGCACCGCTTCGAGTCCATTGCCATCGCCCAAGGTACAGGGGATGGAGCGGGGGGTGACCCTGGGGGCCCGGCGCCCTCCCCCGAGAGCCCCGCCTGCCCCGAGAGCCCCGCCCCCTCCGCCTGGGACCCCAGCCCTCGCCGCCGCCCCACCCGCCGGCCCCCCGCGCCGGCCTGGCCCGGCGCCTGGGACGCCAGGGTGGGGGGAACTTTCCGCCTCTTGAATGTCCCCGGGGGCAAGTGGGACCGGAGCCGATCTAGCCGGGCAGCCGGTGCCAACGCTAGGCTGGCTGGTGCCTCCCCAGGCTCAGAAGCCCGAGCTTCAGCCCGAACGGCCAGCCGATCCTGTTTTGATTTTGTTATGATTTGCTGTGTGCCCCCCCCCCCCCTCAGCCCCCTTGTCACTCGATGCTTTTGTGTGAACCAGCAGCCGCGCAGGTGGCGTGCCTGCTTCCCCCTCAAGTGCTGGGAACGCGAGAGGAAGAAACTTTTCTTGAATGGCCTTGGAACGGAGATGTCTGGGGGCCCATAAGAAGGGGTGTTGCTTCCTAAGGCAGAGGTGCTCTCGGCTGCTTGTTTGCACGCACAGCTGATTATATTATTGCTTTGAGCAGCGGAAGGGAATATTTCCCCGGGAAATGGAAAGAATGGATCCAACCGGCAAGGGCAGAAACATACTTGCAAGTCCACGTTAAGTTCAGTGCTTCGCGAGTTTTGTTGTTTCCCCAGAGGTTGAAAGAATGAAGTAAACAAGAAGGTATTTTTTCCCTGAGAATCTGTGGCTCTACAAGAAAAAGCAGACTTCTGCTCAAAAGTAATCTGCAGTGGTGAAAGCAAAGTTATTTTTAAGCCAACATGTTAAAATAGGATTCTTTTGCAATCAGTGCAGCATGCTTGGTAGGTCAGAATTTGAGTCCAGCTGTAAAAGCCAACAATTCATAAAATCAAAGGGATGAAAGGAACAAAAGATAAAATAATTCCGTCTTAAGATATTTGCCATTTAAATATGGTAATATAGACAAAATACATTGCTACTAAATATTAGATGCTGATATGTTTGAACATTAAAAGTTTACACACACACACACACACACACACACACACACCGACACACACACACACACAACGTTGGTAGGTACATAACCATTCTGTTGATTCCTTAAGTTTAAGACATATTGCTTTGGAAGATGGTATTTGATTTGCCACAGGCACTTGAAGGTGTTTCTTTGGCCTATGCACAGGAATGGAGGAAAGATTTATCTACATCTATGTGACTTACCTATACTACTTCTTCAAACACTTATTAGTTGTGTCTTTTTAATATATATATAGATACATTTCAGAGAGGAAGGGAGAAGGAGAGAGAGACAGAAACATCAGTGGTAAGAGAATCATTGATAGCTGCCTCCTGCATACCCCATGCTAGGGATGGAGCCTGCAATCTGGCATATGCCCTGACTGGGAATCTAACTGTGACCTTTTGGCTTAATTGTATCTTTTAACCACTCCCCTTCCTCCCAACTAAATTCAGGGAATTGTGGACCAATTTATACTATTGGGTGATTCAAGACAGTGTCCACCTACAGTGCTTTTCCAGGAAAAATGTCGCATTGCGATCAATTCATTTTCTTAAGGTGTAATCACGCTATATTAAATCATAATCAAATGCTGGCATATTTTGTAAGCTATGTGTGTACTCAGTATGTGGTTTTAAAATGTTCAGTTCTGAAAATGAGCTCCTTGATACAATAGACACTCACATGCTGAAGTTCTCCATGGGCAAGACTATTTGAACACACATTTGACCTAAGTAATAGCTTGGAAATGCTATATTACCATTGTTACAAGATTGAAGGGCCCTATTAATATAATTTTATGACAGTTCTTGAAAAAGCATGTCCTGGGTAAATTTTACTTCATACCTATTGCACATTGCAATGGATATGCTGCATTTTACAATGAAGATAGTATTTTGAAGTTTAACATAGTTTAATGTATGCTGGAAAGGACCTGTAAACTTCAGTAAATGGAGATTAGTTAGATCAATTATACTTAATAAGTATGTACGTTATATGAGAAAATGCTTATCCCCTATTTATAAGCTAAAGAACTTTAAAGTTTAAGTAAACTATTTTTGCCAATGTTGATGACTAAATTATTGCTGTTTGACTCAAATGACATTTAAGTGATGCTACTGGTTTCATTTTTAAGACAGTTTTAATGTTCTTTGTTGTTTTCAATATCAATACATATAGTTACTATGGAGATAACTGTAATCGAATCGTTACTAATAAATTACCTTATTCATTATTATGTTGCAAATGAATATAACTCATTACATTGCTGAAACCAACATTTCTTTTTCCAGACAAACAAAATGTTACTGTTTTTCTTTTATTGTTGCTTTTTCAATATACGATTCACGTATTAAGAGTGTGTGTGTGTATACTTAGTGGATTTTCTAATGAAATAAATTCCTGTTAAAAGGGTGTTTTCTTATTGTAGGGAATCTTATGTGTTTCTGGGAAGGTTTCTTGTATGATGGTATGACATGTTTTGGATTTGGTATGGAAACATTACAAGAAAAAAATCGTCCATGCTTTGATATGTTAGTGGAATCTACTGCTGAAATTTGGTACTTTTGCCCTTATCTTCCTTATGAGTTTATCAGTAGGCAAGTGACATGGTCTGTGACAAGAAAAGCGTTAGGTTCATATAATTGATTTATAATAGATAACCCCCACTTTGTGGGATGTCTTATCATAGCTACTTAGGATACTGAGGTTTTTACATTACAAACTGATTTCCTCCTCAATTTAAAAAAAGTTGATATTGTGTTCTCAGTTTACCTGCTCAACCTGGTCTTTTTCCAGAAACAGTTCATATCTTCAGGTAGTACATAGTTAGTTCATTGTTTTTTTTTTGTTTGTTTGTTTGTTTTTATAAGTAAGGCTGGCAAGCTGACATCATTACAGTTGCCTTTAATTTTAGCCAAGATTTTCAAACAAATTTGTCTCCCACTTTTTGCAATTATAATTTCTATTTATAATTATTTTTAAAAACTGATTTCAGGACCCTCATGGATACCAAAATCTGTGGATACTCAAGTCCCCTCTATAAAATGGCATATTATTTGCATATGATCTATGCACATTATCCCTGTGAATTTCAAATCCTTTCTAGATTACTTCTTATGCAATGTAAATGCTGTGTTAATAGTTGTTATAGTATACTCTATTGTTTAGGGAATAATTACAAGGGGAAAAAAAAGTCTGTACATGTTCAGTACAGACGCAACCATCCTAGGCCTAACTACTTTGTACATGACAGCAACTGTAACTCCCTACCTCCCCTCCCCACCCGATTATTTTTTAAATTTGATTGGTTGAATCCCCAGATGTAGAACCTGCAGATACTATGGGCCGAATGTACAGCAATTTGGTTTTTGAAGGATGGGCAGTGGCATTGCTCCTTGTATTAGTTGTACCCTGCTGGATCACAAACACCCCTAAATATAATGGCTTAAAACAAACAGGCATTGTCTCAGCGTCAGGAATCCCGGAGCAGCTTAGGGAGATGTTTCTGACTCGGGTCTCTCATAAAGTTGTAATCAAGCTTTCAGCTGAGGCTGCAACGTTGGACATCTTGACTGGGGTTTGGAGATCCATTCCCAAAAAGGCTCCTTCACTCAGTGGTAGGCTGAAGTCTCTATTTCCTGCCCAGCGGGCCATCCCCCAAGGCCACCTGAGTGCTCTCAAGGCGTGGCAGTTGGCTCCCTCCAGGACAAGTGATGACACAGTCTAAGTTGGAAGCCACAGTCTGTTATTATCCAGTCTTAGAAGAGAGAGTCCATCTCTTTTGGACCAGGGCACTGTACAGAGTGTAAAGCCCGGAGGCGGAAGTCATTGGGCTGCATCTGAGAGGCTGCCTTCCACACTTACTAAAGGTGCTGTAACTAATGATTGCTGGAGACTTACATAGGGATGAGAGCTGGCTTTGGGGAAGGCACAGCAAAAGATTTGATTTGAAAAAATAAAAGGAGCCTCTTGGGGAATATTTTTGTAAAACATGTACTTAAGTACTTTAAAAATGAGATTCTTTTGACATATAACAGATATATTGCAGTGAACAGAGCAGTTTTTCTATCAATTTAGATCTTTTTTTAAAAAATATATTTTTTTTTATTGATTTCAGGGAGGAAGAGTGAGGGAGAGATAGAAATATCAGTGGTGAGAGAATCATTGATTGGCTGCCCCACACTGGGGATGGAGCCCGAAACCTGGTCATATGTCCTGACGGGAATCAAGCTCTGACCTCCTGGTTCTTAGGTCGACACTCAACCACTGAGCCAAGTGGGCTTTCAATGTTAAATCTTGATTAGCTTGCATTTTTTTCCATCATATTAAATGGCAATTGTGTACATTTAGGTTTTCTTTTTACCATTTATCTGCATCCACATAGGCATACCATATAATTCTAAAGTATGCTTAATGTAGTTCCTCATCTTCTGTGATTACTTAAGTGGGTGAGAAGCTTCGTTTTGAGAACTTGCCAGATAGCAGAAGGGCCTTTGTCACATGAAAGGCTGCAAGATAAAAAGCTGATATTAAAGTGGACATCTAGAATACTTAAAAACAAGATTTTTCATGGCGCTATGACCCAGAAGGGATCTTGGACTCTTAAGGAGAGAATCTCCATTTTTCTCAGCCTATTGTTCAGGATTATGGGGAAAAATAGCCACTCTGTTAAGCGAGTAAGTTCTGGGATGTATTGGAGATAATTTCAGCTTTTGCTGAAAGAGAATGAGAACGAGGGTAAGGAAAGCATTTCATACTCTAAATTAAGATGCGTGAATAAAGATATTTCAGTGCCTTCACTGAAATAGTATCAGAGGAACAAGGGAAGTAGCCCCAACTAGACACAGCAAGAAGAGAAGAGCCAGGATGAGGATGTGAGGTGTGAATGGAGTCAGGAGGAGTGAGAGATATCTAAGAAACTTGAGAGCTTCTATATCTTGGGCCTAGATAAGTTAAAA